CCACAAAAAAGAAAGAAATAAAAAGAACCCACTTAAATTGACACAAGACGTGCAATGCACGTCCACCTTCCTAGTACATATAAAAACAAAGAAATGCAAAAAGATACAATTTTGGGTAATTAAGGTAATCTGCATCTAATGCTGTAGTTGGGCATTGTGGGTAATGTGAATGCAATTGGTCTTATATAAAAGATCGAATAAAAAATTAGATTTATCATAATATGAATGTTCATCGAGGGAGTTTTGTTAAATAGCCCATTAATTCAAAAAGAGAAATTTAGTCCTTTTGCGAATAGCAAAAAAACCCATCACATGGGACTTAAATGTACATTGGTCCAAAAAAAAAACAGTCTCTCGATTAAACCCATCTCCATGTCTTTAGTCTAAAATACCCTCCATAATATAAGTCTTATCAATTCCATCCATTATGCTCTAACTTTCTTAATATTACACATTGACCCCGGATTTAAACAAATATATCACATTAACCCCCAAAATATTTTTTTTTTCAGAAAATATTTTTTTTCTGAATTTTTTTGCATGTATATATATATATATATATATATATATATATATATATATATATATATATATATATATGTACATGCAACAAATTTAAATAAACTTATACTTCCCTTTTTGTAACAAAATTCCTCTTCTTTGTTCATTTTCAAGCACATAGAGTGAGATCACTTCTCACCTTTAAAACCCTATTTATTGATCTTTGTATTGAAGACTATAGAATGAGGTTCTCACCTTTATAAACCTATGATCCTCTTTTACCGAAGACCATAGAGTGAGATTACCTTGAAGATTATCGGGAATCCCTTTGGAAAAACCGATCTATGTTTTGATTATTAACCATGTTTTATGAGCCCGAACTAACTACGTCGAATCAAACTACCCTTAGGTCCTACAGTACCAACTCTTCGTACACTTGGTTATTTAACCGAGACTTCGAAACAATTTCCAAAATATTTTTATCTTTTTAAAACAGTGATATTTATGCACCCAACACATGCACCCTTGTACTTACCATTTTTTCATTCTCACACGCAATGATGAATACCCATAAGCAAGATAAGATCGCATAGCAATTTTCAAATAAGCACACAAAACCATCAAATAAGTACACTGAAATAATTAGAGATCTTATGCATGCAAAACTTACATAGTCTTAATCAAAGCTCTTATTTCAAAACAATTAACCGGATTTACCTATTCAAAACTAAAGTTCTTATTTCATTTCAAAACATGTCTTTAAGGAATAAAATTCAAGATCATCAAGTTATAACTCTTACACCAATTAACATAAAAATGTTACACCAATTAACATAAAAATGTTAGATCTTAACATGCAAGACTCTAAATCAAGCGATTTCATCATCCAAGTATTTTCCCAAAAACATCGAACACTACATATACATAATAAATTTTTTTTTTATTTGCAAATTCCACATGCATCAACATATTCCTTTCCTTTAAGAAGCAAATACAAAGATTTAACTAGTTAAGCCAAAAATTCGAATTCTTTTTACCAAACAACAATCAACTACTAGATAGTCACATGCAAGGCATTATCTAGGCCATTTTCCCCCAACTTTTCAAAAAACATAAAGATACAAGAACAAAATTTTCTCTTCAAGATACTAAAATGCAATCTTCATCCAAGTCATATAACAGTATAATACATAATTAGAAGTCAAGAATTTAAAGAAAACAAAAACTATTGGTGTTGCCTATTTGATCAAGAATTCAAGGATTCTCACATTTAGTCGGGAGGATAGGATTGTTAGCTTATTTCTCTCTATTTAAAGAAGATATTAAAGATTAGATTATGGAGTTAAAATGAGAAGAAGAAAAAAATTAAAAGAAAGAGAGCTTAACTCTTCGAAAATTGAAGGAGAAGAAGAAAGATGCTTACTGAAATAGAAAGAGACCTTGGACTTATAGATGGTGAGAGTAGAGTTTGAGAGTGCGTTTGGGTCTTGGATATTGGAGGAATTTATAGAGTTTTTGGAGACTTCAAAGCCAATGGAGAAGAATGGGAAATAGATATTTGTGGAGGGGGATTTTGCAATTTCTTGAGGCCGTTTTTTGGTGGTTTGAGCTCAAGTAAATGGAGGTTATGGTTGTGGTGTGGGGCTGCCGAAAATGATAGAGGGACAGGAAGAAGAACGATGACAGTTGGGCTAGCTAAAGTTGGAGTGTGTGACTGGGTAAGTGTTCTTAGCCAATGATTACAAAAGGATACAGTTAGGTATTTCTTTCAATGCTCAATCTACAACTCTTCTAATGCATGTTCACCTCCTAGTTAATATGTCTCTCTTTTTAATTTATCACTTATGCTAGACGTGCATTGAGGTGGCCGAAAATTCCAAGAAAATATGAGGGATTTTATTTCTAATTTTATCACTAATTAATAGTCCTAGAATGCAAGAATTAATTTTATTTCTAAAATTTATTGCATGCATAAATGTGATAAAAATGGACACTTAAATTCATTATGCAAGAATCGAATTTTAGTTCATGAAAATAATTTATTTTTTGTGTGAGTGAAAATTATACTTTTAAAAAATATTTATTCATTCACATAATTCACATAATCACATAATCATATAATCAAGTAAGCATGAGAAATTATACTAAATTCTAATTAAATAAATTCGCATGTAATCGTGGTAAAATAAATACTAAGTTTAATTTTACCAGAAAAATGTTGAGTGCTACAATCTTCCCCCCTCGAAAAAATATGTCCCCAAAATTTGTACCTTTCTTGATTAGTTTCGGATAACGACTCACAATCTCATCCTCAAGTTCCCCCTTTTCCTCGTCAGGAGAATGATTTTTCCAAAGGATTTCGATAAGGTGGATTTCTTTGTTTCGAAGTTTCTTAACCGTTCGCTCTAGAAATTTTAGAGGGTTCTTCGGTAAAGGATGTTGGGATGTGAAGCCCAGAAGTCAATGAAAATTCGCAAGAGGTTCTAGATTACCCGATTTTAATTTTATTAACATGTTTTGATTAGATTCGTTTAAAGCAGAATAAATCTCATCTAGCAACTTACAGTTTTCGCGAGCATAATCGTTTCTATCTTCGGCGCACGAACAAGGATCCACACCAAGCCTTCAATCCTCGAAAAACTGCTGTCAGAAATTTATAGCATTCTTCCTTCACCAATATCTCCGTCATGGTTAATCTGATGGAGAAACCCTTCTGACAGATTATAGTACTATGGGTTAGAAAGCGACTGTATAAATTTCAAGCCTATCAGATGAAGGAGTGATTTAATGCGAATTTCTTCGCAGGAATGCTCAGAAAATTCGGGAATAAATGTTTGCTCTAAAAACCTATAATTTTCTATTGTATATCTCGGATTAATAATTCTTCTACAAGGATGGACTTGTACTTGAAGAAATCTAAATCTATAATCGAGAAACCTAGAGAGAAAAGAAGAAGAGAAAAATATTTTCTCTTCCAACAGAAATAGGCGTGTAAAAAATTGTTCTCTCTCATCAACCCAATATCTATTATATATATCACAAGGAATTACATTCCTTTGAAGAAATTTGAGAGAAAGCGCGAAACAAAAAGTTACGAAGCCATATATAGATAAACCTCTATAAATTAATACAGTTGGGACCATCAACAGTTCATTAATTTAGCGAAATATTAACTTATCGATAAATTAATAATTATTAATTTATATATTAATTAATAACTTATTAATTTATGAAATAATTACTTATTATTATTTTCAATAAATACATTTTTTTTATTATTTTTTTCACGTGTATATTATTCATTGTACTATTAGTTCAATGCACTATAGAGTTCGTTTCATGGACGAAAGCTTTTAAAGCTGCAATGGTATAGAACGATTTATGTTGAGTTATGAGAAAACTATAACGAAACTCTAACCATGTTTAAGAAAAGCGAGGGACGAGATTGATGGTAATGTGAATTTCAACAAGAAACAAGCGACAATTAAATTATATTGTGTTAAGCCTTCATAGATCTATAAAATATGTATTCTACCATGCAATTTAAGAATTATTTTTATGCATTATTAATTTATATATTACATGGGGCTTCTTAAAATTTTCGAATGTTTATTATCTTTTAAATTTAACGAATTATTAATTTAGCACGTTGTCCCCGAGTCGGGATCGGAAAAAAATATTATTTAAACGAGGTTATTAATTTATCGGGTATTAATTTATCGGGGTTCTACTGTATTATATATTATCCATAACAATGGCGTCGTGACTTTTTGTTTCACCGTTTCTCTCAAAACGGGGGATGCATCGCTACCCCGTTAAAGGAATCCAAATGTGGAATCTGAGTTATACACTGCTCGCTATTTTTCGCCGTCACAACTCAAATTCGACGGATGTGATCGCACGACGCAAATGGTTATGAATGATGATCGACATTCTGGATCGGGGTTGGACTCCTATTTATACGAGACATATACTAAATTTGTAATTAGATTTTTGAAAATTTCCCTACTACTTACCATAAGCATATGTATTTAGAAAGTTATAGAAAATTGATCCAATATATATAGACATACACATATGGTATGTATTAATATTTCCTACCATGTTAAGAGATTATTATAACTACGTGGCCTAGAGATAAATACTAAATATATAATTAGGAATGTGAATAGATATTCTTTGTCCCAATCACATTTTTTATATGGTAACAACAAGGGGTATATTTGGTATCTCACCCAGTCCCTAAGAATCAATTCGGATTGTTTTAAATTTTAAGGAATGTGGATATATATCGTAAATACTAATACAGACTATATATATCGTGTGTCCATACATTTTTTTTAATTTAATTTCATATTACGTACAGTTGTACTTACCATTGAAATTAATTTATTGCGAAAATAATAATCTATGAAAAGATTATTCAAAATTATTATTTCTTTTTAGGTAGGTAAAAGAAAATGCTTACGACCAACAAATAATATAATAGTGTACTCCATATTATACTTGCAATTTATTTATTTTCTTTCTTTTTTTTCTTACATAATTTGTTATTGATTACATTAACAAAATTTTGTAGTCTAACGACTATTTCTTCTTCTATAAATAGCGGGAGCAAATCTAGAACATCGATCATCATTCGTCGCACTGAAAAAAAAAACGAAAAAAAAACATTTTAGAGAGAGAGAAAATGGAGAGAGAAACTACGGTGCTAATCATCGGTGCAGGGCCCGCGGGCCTAGCAACTTCCGCATGTCTAAACCTAAAAAGCATACCAAACATTGTCTTAGAGAGAGAAGATTGTTGTGCTTCCCTTTGGAAGAAAAGAGCTTATGATAGATTGAAACTTCATCTTGCCAAACAATTTTGTGAATTACCCAATATGCCCTTCCCTTCCAATGCACCCACATACATCCCTAGAAAGGACTTTATCCGGTACTTGGATGATTATGTTTCGTATTTCAACGTAAGCCCTTTCTACAATTGTACCGTAGAATCCGCCTCGTTCGATCACAGCCGTCGAAGTTGGGTTGTGATGGCGAAAAACGAGGTTTTGGGCACGATGGAGAAGTACATAGCGAAGTTTTTGGTTGTGGCGACGGGGGAGAATAGTGAGGGGTACATACCTCAAAATATCCCGGGTTTGGATTTGTTTAACGGTGAAGTGATGCATTCTAGTAAATACGAAAATGGAAAGAAATTTGAGAAAAAGAAAGTGTTGGTTATTGGAAGTGGGAATTCCGGTATGGAAATAGCGTTCGATTTGTCCAATTGGGGTGCTCGAACTTCTGTAGTTGTTCGTAGCCCGGTAAGTGCTTTATCCAAAATCTGTTTTTCTTATTTCTTTTTGAATTTTTTTTGAAAATAATTACTCCTCTTGTCCTAAAATAAATGTCTTTTTGGGTTGTTGACCCACAAATTAAAAAAAAACTAATAAATATGCGTTGCTTTAAGGAAGAAAAAAAATCCCAGATAGAATGACTAAAATATCCATGTTTTATTTTATTTTATTTCCAGTAATTCTCTTAATTAACTAATAGTAATAAGGGCGAAATTGAGAAAATGGAAACAAGAAAAATTTCATGAATCGGCAGTTAATTTAGAACGAATTGAGTACGTAATTTTGCAAACGCACACTGATTTTAGTATTATTATTTTTTTTTAAATTATTTCAGGTTCATGTTCTTAGTGAGGAGCTGGTGAAACTTGGAATGGTGTTATTGAAGCATTTAAATGTAGATTTAGTGGACACTATTGTGTTACTATTGAGCAAATTGAAATTTGGGAATCTTTCTCAATATGGTATCCAAACGCCAAACAAAGGACCCTTTTATCTCAAAAGAGCAACCGGAAGATCTCCCGTTATCGACGTCGGCACTATTGCCAAAATCCGAGCACGAGAAATCGATGTATATACATGCATACGTAACTTTTTATTATTTACATGCATGCATGCATGCATGTACACAAGTGAAACATATTGGCTAATATTTGGTTAATGTAATAAATTTTGTAGGTTTTGCCCTCAATCGAGAATGTGCATGGAGATAATGTTAGCTTTACGAACGGTGTAACGGAAAGTTACGATGCCATTGTTTTTGCAACCGGCTACAAGAGCACTGTCAGAAAATGGCTCAAGGTAAGTTAGCTTTCATCGTTCGTATGTACGATGTTGCTAAACCATTTTAGTTTGCTTGAAAAGAAAAGAAAAAAAAAAGATAGCTAATTAAATGCAAATTTTGTAATTTGTTATATGTAGGATGATGGAGGGCTTTTTGGGGAAAATGGAATGCCAAAGAAGAGAAACCCGAATCATTGGAAAGGAGAAAACGGTCTTTACTGTGCTGGATTTGCGAGGGCTGGATTGTTTGGGATTTCGAACGATGCCAAAGCTATATCGCAAGATATAAGTGCGCTCCTTAAGTCATCGTAATTTTTCGTTTAATTGTAATTTTTTATGTAAGTATTATAGTATATGATCTGCCTAATGTGAAATAAGGGCGTCGATCGTCGATCGAAAAAGCCGATATTTTCTCCAATAATTGAAAAAATAAATATTATCTCAAGCGCTCGACTTTTATCTCTAAGCAATTCAAAAATATAAACCAGAAAAAAAATAGCTTATAGGAGAAATATATTTGGAGAAAAGAGAGAATAATATCTCTTACGTATATTAATCATATATATAGTTACACGTAGGAAACCCTAACCTACTGCACAAGGTAACCTAATATACAAGGAAACCTAATATACAAGGTAACCTAATAAATAAGAATAATAATAGGTATACGTAATATATATAATAAAGATAACGTAATATATATATAATAAAGATACGCTAATACACCCCCGCAGTCGAAACGGGAAAGGAGAGGACGTGGAGACTGGAGACAAACTGTTGGAACAGTTGAGTAGGGAGTCCTTTCGTGAAGATATCGGCAAACTGGTAGGCGGACGGGACATGAAGGACTCGAACGTGTCCCAAAGCAACTTTGTCTCGGACAAAATGGATATCGATCTCCACATGTTTCGTACGAGAGTGTTGAATAGGATTGCTCGATAGGTAGACGGCACTGACGTTGTCACAGTAGACAATAGTGTCTTTCGAAAGTGGGCAGAGCAACTCAGAAAGTAGGTTGCGTAACCAAGTCGTTTCGGCGACGGCATTTGCGACAGCTCGGTATTCGGCCTCCGCACTCGATCGAGAGGTAGTGACCTGTCGTTTGGAGGACCAAGAAATGAGGTTGTTGCCGAGGAAAACACAATAGCCCGATGTCGAACGACGAGTGTCAGGGTAGCCACCCCAATCGGCGTCGGAGTAAGCGATAAGAGAGGGGCCCGGATTGGGGGAGAGCTGAAGGCCGTGATCGAGAGTCCCACGAATGTAGCGAAGGATACGCTTGAGAGCAGCCATATGAGGTTCCCTCGGATCATGCATGAATAGGCATATTTGTTGCACAGCATAGCAGATGTGAGGACGAGTAAACGTGAGGTATTGCAGTGCACCGGCAAGGCTGCGATAAAGAGTAGCGTCAGCAACGGGGGGTCCAGTGGTCGAGGACAACTTGCTCTTTGTGTCAGCCGGCGTAAGACAAGGGTTGCAGGAAGCCATGTGTGCACGCTCTAGGATCTCGTCGGCGTACTTGCGTTGAGAGAGAAATAGCCCATTCGACGAGCGAGTGACTGAGATGCCGAGAAAGCAGTGAAGATCGCCAAGATCCTTCATTGCGAACTCTTGATTAAGTCCAGCGGTGATAGAGCGGAGCAATTCAGGTGTGGAGGCCGTAAGTACAATGTCATCGACATACAGCAGAAGGTAGGCGCATGAACTGTTGCGACAGTCGCGTGAACTGCTGCGACAGTCGCGTGAACTGTTGCGACAGTACACAAAGAGTGAAGTGTCGGACTTGCATTCTCTGAACCCCATGGTAGTAATGTGAGATGCAAAACGCTTGTACCAAGCACGTGGTGCCTGCTTGAGACCGTAGAGTGCTTTGTTGAGATGACACGCATGAGTGGGGCGAGATGGATCGACGAATCCGGGAGGTTGCTCGCAGTAGACAGTTTCAGAGAGATTGCCATGTAGGAAGGCATTTTTCACGTCAAGCTGGTGGATTGGCCATGATCGCGAGAGAGCAATACTGAGAACTGTTCGAACAGTGGCTGGTTTGACAACTGGGCTGAAAGTCTCGTCAAAGTCGATGCCAGCCTGCTGGTGAAACCCACGAACAACCCACCGTGCTTTGTATCGCTCAAGGGAGCCATCAGACTTGAGTTTCTGTTTGTATATCCACTTACCAGAAATAACATTAGTGGACGGGGGGCGGGGCACAACATTCCAAGTATTGTTTTTAATTAAAGCAGTATATTCCTCAATCATGGCGTTTCGCCAGTTTTGGTCAAGAAGAGCTTGGCGATAGTTGGTGGGAATGGGAGAGGTAGAGGATACAACGAGAGAGAAGGGGACTTTGGGTTTGTGGATGCCCACTTTACTACGAGTCACCATAGGGTGAGCAAGGGGAGGTGGGGGAGGTGTGGGAGTAGGAGAAGGAGATGTGGAAGTATGAGAAGGGGTTGTGAGCTGGTTGTGGTCGACAGGTGCTGCTGCAGAGGAAATAGGTGTTGGCTGTGTTATAGGACTGTTGGACGGACTGTTGGAACAGGGTGGTTCACTATTGGAACAGTTGGAGGAACTGTTGCAACAGTTAGACGAAGTCTGAGGGATGAGGAACAGGGAGGGTGTGTTTATGGGGGGAGTGGACTCAGCAAAAGGAAAGTTAGTTTCGTCGAAGATAACATGACGAGAAATTATGATTCGGCCAGTGGATCTATCAAGGCAACGATAGCCTTTGTGAGAGGAAGGATGACCGAGATAGACACAAGGAGTAGAACGGGGGGCGAGTTTATGTGGTGTGGTGGCGGTGAGGTTGGGATAACAGAGACAGCCGAATACTCGAAGATGAGAGTATGTAGGTTTGATGAGCTAAAGAGCTTCGTGAGAAGTCCGGTTTTGTGTGGTTTTGGTAGGTAAGATATTGAGTAGGTGTGTGGCCATATGAAGGGCTTCGACCCAAAAAGTAGGAGGAATATGGGCTTGAAAGATGAGGGATCGAATCATGTTAGTTATAGTGCGGATCATTCGTTCTGCGTGTCCGTTTTGAGGGGAGGTGTGGGGACACGAAAAACGATTTAGGATGCCATGTTTAGTGAAGTAGTTTTGAAAATCCGCATTTTTTTAATTCACGACCATTATCACTTTGTAAGGCTTTCAGGGGATGTTGGAATTGAGTTTTGAGAAGTGTATGAAAATTGACAAAGGTTGTAAAAACATCAGATTTATTTCGAAGGGGAAAAGTCCATAAATAATGGGTAAAATCATCAACTAGCACAAGATAATATTTGAAACCCATAAGACTAGAAACAGGAGAAGTCCATAAATCAGCATGAATAATTTGAAATGGAGCAACAGTAGTAGATTTTTGAGAAAAAAATGGTAGACGAAAATGCTTGCCTAATTGACAAGCATTACAAAGAGACTCCCTAGGGTCTTTATTATGGGAAAGAAAAGTGCTAGAAAATAAACGAGACATGACGTGTTTGCCAGGATGGCCTAGACGCCGGTGCCAAAGAGTGCGAGACGAAGGTGTTGCGACAGTGAGGAAAGCAGCGGGAGGTGAGGTGCGGGGAGGGACGCCAAAAGGATATAGGTCACCGGAGCTATTGCACCTGAAAATCTCGACTCGACTGCGAAGATCCTTCACAGAAAAACCAAACGGATCAAATTCAACCGAACATGAGTTATCGCGGGTGAACTTTCGAACAGCTATAAGGTGTTTGACGATATTGGGTGTGACATAGACATTTCTGAGGCCGAAAGGAGTGGTGGGAAGAATTGTGTGGCCTATGTCGGTTATGGGGAGGGTGGAACCATTACCGACGACGACATGTTTGGGGAATTTACTGCCAGGATTAAAAACAAAATTGAAATTACCTGAGTAGGAGCCGAGTGACCGGTGTAGGGTTCAGGTGGTCCAGTAAAGTAGGCTTGAGCCGCTGGGTGGCCTGATGTATTTTGAGCGGATCCCAGAATCGACTGTTGTCGGTAAGGTGCGCGCCAAAGTTGAGATGCGCCATGAGCACTATGATAGCCGTAGTGCTGCATGGGGTGACGGTTAGTGCTGCGACCTCCGCGACGGTTGGATCGACCACCCCCGCGCTGATAGCGCGAAGAACTACCTCCGCGGGAACTGTTGCAGGAACTGTTGCAACTGTTGGATGGACAGTTCGCGTTGGAGGCGTAGAAAACAACAGCGGTCTGCTCGGGTTCAGAAATTTTTGTTTCTTCCATCTGAAGGAGCAAACGAGTCTGTAGAAAGGTGGGGAGGGGGTTTTGAAAGGAGATGAGATTGGCGACGGTCCCGTAATTTTTCGGAAGGCCGTGTAGGGTTTGTAGAACGAGTTGTTTGTCGGAGATTGGATTTCCGACATCGGCCAAGCTGTCCGCCGTGGTCTTGATTATTTGGCAATAATCGTGAATGGAGAGAGCGCCTTTCTTGAGAGACTTGAATTTTTCTTCAAGTTGAATGGCTCGATAGTCTTTGTTATCGGTGAAGAGAGAGGAGATGGCGTTCCATAGATCACTGGCGGTAGAGGTTTTTGAGAGAACCATGCTGGATAGATCGTCGGAGATGGTGCCGTAGATCCAAGATTGGAGGAGATAGTCGGCGCGCTGCCATTCGTCGGCGAGAATCGAATCCGGTCGGGGTTTGCCATGGAGAAGATCGGAGAGGCAGAAACGACCGACGGTAATCGTGAAAAAGTGGCTCCACTTTTGATAATTAGGATTTTTTAGATCTAGAGTAACGGGGATAAGGGATTTGATATTAGAGATGGCATGAGCAAGGTGAAAAGGATTGAGATGGGCGGTGGAGGGAGAAGAAGATGAAGATTCGCCGGCCATGGAGAAGAAGGGGGTGGGGCGACGGCTATGCAGAAAAAGAGAAGAAGAGGTGGTGACGGCTAGGTTAACCTAGTGTCTGATACCATATAGGAGAAATATATTTGGAGAAAAGAGAGAATAATATCTCTTACGTATATTAATCATATATATAGTTACATGTAGGAAACCCTAACCTACTGCACAAGGTAACCTAATATACAAGGTAACCTAATAAATAAGAATAATAATAGGTATACGTAATATATATAATAAAGATAACGTAATATATATATAATAAAGATACGCTAATACAGCTAATTATTAGTTCATAAATGTTTCATAACTCTACTAGAAAGCAAAAAAAAAATCAGCCTTGAAAAACGTGTTGCTCCACCCAATACGTTTCGAGTTTGATGGTCGAACATTGTCCGTAGAATTTAGTATTCAACGGGAGAAAAACGGAAGCTTGGTTCTTCAGCGTTGTTGTATTTGAA